GGGGCTCCTGGCATCGCTACTAGGAGCAAGAAGCTACTAGGGGCTCCAGGCCTTACTACTAGGAGCAATGTTCGCTACTAGGAGCGAAAGCTTACACCGATCGCGAATGCTCGGAGCGCCCGACTGACCCCAACAGTGATCGGTCGCTGGTCTTTCTGCACCGAATTTGAGGTATTGGTATGACCGGCGCCCTCGTGGTGATGAGGTGGAACTCCCAAAGGAGGATTGCAAACAGTAGATATTTGAGGAATTCAGCCACGAAACAATGATTTCATTTCTGGTTGTGTTCATTGCTTTACCATCATCACATCGTTTCTCTTCATTTGTCGCAGGAGCGACCTCGCGATGCTAAGTATGGGCGATGGACAAAGAAGATCAGCAGGGAGAAGGCGAGACGAAACAGTGAGACGAGTGAGTCGAGTGAGAGTACAGTGCAAAGCAATACACGCAATGCGGTGCTAATCACTGTGAACATACAATGTGCATGGATAATGCACACAAGTGCACAGCCCGAATTCACATTTGCGCATTCACACGCCAATATGCAAGTGCACACGTCAAAACATTTCAATACAGTTTTGTTCAGGTCATTTATTCCTCAGTGGGACTGAAATCTCGGGTGCGAACCAGAGGACATTTGGGTGCAAAGGCCGAAAGTCTTCGACTCCAAAGACGCAGGTCGAAAGACTCTTCAACTTGCTTGCTCCTACAAGTAGTAGCGATGCCCTTTACTCCTAGTAGCTTCTTGTTCCTAGTAGTAAGGCCAGGAGCCCCTAGTAGCGTCCTTGCTCCTATACAGTTTGTTTCCAACTCTCCGTTTTTCCTTTCCGTTTGTCCTTCCTTTGACGAAAGACATTTGAAAGAGACGAAACGAGACACGGAAGATGAACTGAAATGGGACGAATGATGAACATTGAGACTTCGTCTCAGAATGCCAGGTCTTTCGGCGCCCGGCTGGTGTAGATGTTTCAAGCTCGGATTGGCGACAGCACGACCGCACCTGCGAGTCCAGCAAACGAAATGGAACATCCAGACTGTCTTTGGACATGTATATTTGCTTTTGGCTTGGTACTATCCGGGCTTGGCCTTATTTGTATCTAGGCTTTCGGACGTTATGTTCTTTGGATCCGACGTGTTGTGCTCCAGTTCTGCATTCCTTCCGAAGCTTGGTCTCCACGTCGAGTGAAGACCTGATCCAGGAAAATCCTTGGATGGATTTTGTACAAGCAAGTGAAGTGCTTTGATTTCTTGAATCAACTGGTTCTTTTTCTTTTAAACATCAACTTGCAGAAACCACTTAAAACAAAGCATCTTTAAGATCTTCCAGGTCTTCCGTTGGCTCAGCCGTTAGCAGTTCTTTGGGACGCGAGTGGGGACACTTTAAAGAAAGCAAGAAATGTCCCCTTAGCATCCGGCGAATTGAAGAACAAGGGCCCTCCGGAGGGAATGATTCACAGAAGTTTCAATTATACAAGGAGGATTATTTTTTTGGGGGGGCCTAAGTACGGGAAGGTAGGCTGGCTACGAGTAGCGCTGGTAGCTGGAATGGTCCCCCCCACCCATATTCAGTTCGATGTTTGGGGCAACTGACGAATCTGAGTAATAACAAGTGCATCGCTTCTAGTAACAAGTGCCTTACTAGTAGTAACAAGAAGCTACTAGTAACAAGTGCATCGCTTCAAGTAGCAAGTGCCTTACTAGTAGTAAGAAGAAGCTACTAGTAACAAGTGCCTTACTAGTAGTAACAATAAGAATTTAATTAGAATTAATAGCTTCTTGTTACTACTAGTAAGGCACTTGTTACTACTAGCGAGGCACTTGTAATTACTAGCAAAGGAATCTACTAGGACCTTTTCGCGCGCGCGCGCACGCGCGGGGGGGGGGGTAGGAAGCTACTAGGATTAAGTGCCTTACTAGTAGTAACAAGAAGCTGAAAGTGCTGGGTGTCCAATTTCACACACTTGGTCCAATTCCGCTGTGAAACTCGTGGAAATGCTTGCAAATCTTGTGCACGATTGCGCTGTAATCCATGGACAACGGTGTAGGTCGACATTTTCAGGGGTTGAAGTTTGGTTATGAAGCTACTAGGAACCAAGGACATCGCTACTACCAGGAGCAAGGAGGCTACTAGCAGCTCCTGGCCTTACTAGTAACAAGGCCGCTACTAGGAACATTCTTGGTGAGTGTTTCACCCGAAGACTGCGAACTGGTACCCCCCCATTGAAATTATCTTTGGGGAAGAAACGTTATTTGAACGCAATATGAAGGCAGTTACTTTTGAACTGATGTATTTTCCCACTCCGGAGTGCTTTTTGTCACCCCGCTTTCCAACAGATTGATAATTTCAGTTGATAATTCTCACTGTTCGGGGATACAAGGTATTATATACTGTATGTAACTTGACACATTCATAGGTGTGAAGGAAGATTTGCAAAGGGTTAATGAGAAATCGGGGGAGCTGTGGCGCCGAACAAGAGTGAAGGCCAACCACTTGTGATCCTTGTCCGCTTTCACCCGATCCGTTCAACCCTCCGATAGGTATTGGTTGCTTTTAGAAGGTGTGTCCAACCACTCATAGGTCGTCAATGAGCTGCAACATCATGCATTTGTTTCGGGTACTCAATCGGCAGCCAGTGCGAATTTGGCTTAAGATGTTGAAATTAGAAGCGCCTTCAAGTGAGTAGGTCAGGGTTAAGAGTGTATACATGTGAAGAATGTTTTTTTGTATCTTTTCGTATCCTCCTCATCGCCATTGGCCCAGAATCTACTTTCAGTCCTTGGATTTAGGCGATGCTCCCGCACAAACGCATGCTTTGGTGATGGGTTACTTCAAAAGCGTGGCCTATTTGGACGGGTTCTGCGGTCTATGTCAATACTAGCTGTGGATTGATGTGGATTGTCTTCTAATTGGTTTGGCGTGATTTTGATGAGGTTCGCGAACGTTTTTGTTTTTCCGCGAAGGATTTATCGACGGTCATTTTTCCAATTGATTTCTTTTCTACTGACATATGGTAGAAATACAAGACAATCCTCCGGCAGAGCCGATGGGCGGAAGTGTCCCCACTGTGAGAGATTAACAAACTGAACCTCAACGTTTCCTTGCGCAGCCCTCACAGTGCCTATCACCATTGCGCAGTCTTGACGGTGGGGGGAAGGATCTGCAGCTCTGGGTCTAACAGGTTGTGCAGATCTTTGTGCTTGATATGTTGTTATTAGGGAATCACCAGTGAATCTTCGCGGAAGATCTGCGAATGTGCCACTAAAGTCCCGGTTGCTAATCTTGGGCTTCTCACCAATTCCCATGCTACCTTGCCCGAATTACTTTGGTGGCTTTCCGGGATATTCATCAGGGCGTGTCCCATAGATGCTGCAAGTAGCAGTCAGTAATTTGTCGATTCGAAGATAATGTCAATTCGACGTGTTCTTTAGGAACATGCTTCGCGACGAGGTCACGCCAGATATGTTTTTCTAGTCAAACTGAATGGCCGCTCCATCAAGTTTGATCAGCCACCCCCACAGGGGAGAGACCCGATGAAATACGTGCGAACAAAAAACGGAGTTCAGCAAGCGAAGTCACGGCGCGCACATCCGAGGGAGTCAACAGCCAAGATATGTCCGTTCCTTGGAACTGGAGCTGCTGTCGGTTGCACTTGACATCGAGGCAAAAAAAAACTATTGGTTTGCGCTTGTTGAAGTGCCGGGTGGCTGCGACAGCGAGCGACGAGCAGTTCAGAACCCCCCTGGATTGGGTGAAAGCAGATGGTGGGCTTTGCGGGTGGGGGGGCAATTTTTTTCACAGGGCATGTCCGTTTTGCCACACCATTTGTGTCGAGGTGACGCGTTTATCGACGCTGCAGCGCGCAGCATCACTCTGTGGCCATGATCAGCTGCTAGAACTGGTGGAGGCAAGATGAAGCAAAGTGCACCCTTTCCCAAAAGAATGGAACACAAGAAACATTTGAACACACAACTTAATTAATTAGTTTTATGTCCTACATGCTACTCTCTCTCTTACCGTCTTCTATGAATTTTATCCCTTTTTATTGGCCAAAAAAAATGACAACTCCAAGCTGCCAAGCGCTCGATCTGAGACCACGATGGAGAGCTTGCGCCCGCGCAATGTGGCGCGCATCCCTTGGTCAGAAGTTGAAAGGCAGCGCGTTGGCATCTTTAAGAACAAACCGCGTGACGTGCAACATGAGTAGTGTCGACCTCTGATTAATAAGCAGGGGACCTATTTTTAGGATTCTTGGTTTACATTAAAACATGAAGTTCATCCCAGATTCAAAGAACGGAGTTTAACAAGGAAATGAACGAAATCTTTATTTGGAAGAGGTCCCTGGAATTGAGATGAAAGGGAATTAGTATTTGGAAGGAGTGGATGCTAAAGCAATCTGTGAACACAGGAATGAAAAGACCTAAACATTCATCAAATAAAGTTCAACTGCTTCAGGCAGCAAACATGTTAGCTTTATTTAGGGCGCGCTTTATTGTGGTTTCAGGAAAATTCATTAGTTTTATGTAGGGTATATAGACTTATTTAGGGTATTTTTTTCAAAGCTATTCCTTTAAAGTATGTTTAGTTAGTATCATGATTATTGTCTAACATTATTTTGTGCTATTGTTTCAAAGTTGTTTATAAAACACATTATATTAGATATGCTTATTGTTTAGACTATTTTTTGGGGAGGGGAACATGTTTAACTGTTTTGCGGGGGTTTACTAATCAGGGCGGGGAGTTGCTTAACATTTTTTACAGGTGGTTTACTAATCAGAGGTCAACATTACATTTGCGGAGGGGGAGATTAGTGGTTCTTGTGTTCCTCACTTGTGGGATCTGGCCCAATGCACGAGTGCAAACCCAAGCAAACACATCTGGGACATGTCATGAGTTTAAGAGTCCCTTCGTTTTTTCCGTTCCCGTCTTTTTGAAAATCTATAGAATCACACCACAGCTCAGTGCCATCAAAGTGGAACACTCTCCAAGTCGTTTGTATCCATAAACCCCCAGTTGGATTCTTTTCGTTTCCGTGGTTTTCTCCGTCTCCCGGATTCCAGTTGCTGAACGAAACGGGATGAACAAGCTATTCAAGCATCAGAATTGGCAATGTCATGTGTCATATTTCGAGAGGCATAGCAGCAAGGATGACCTTTGGCTGCTGATTGACGGCAAGGTCCGGAGCGGTGAATGGATGTACGTGAACGGATTAGAACGAAATAAAAATTGCTTGTCATGATTGCTTGGGCTCATGATTGTCATCATTGCAGGTCTATGATGTAACTTCCTTCTTGTCGCTTCACCCTGGGGGTGGCCAGCTAGTAGTCGATGCAGCTGCGCAGGTGTGTGAGATGCGAGAAAGCGGTTTCACAGGCGAATGACATGGCCTTCAACCTATATACTAGCAACGGCCTCCAACCTAATAGCAATGGCCTTCAACCTATATACTAGCAACGGCCTCCAACCTAATAGCAATGGCCTTCAACCTATATACTAGAAACGGCCTCCAACCTAATAGCAAAGGCCTTCAACCTATATACTAGCAACGGCCTCCAACCTAATAGCAACGGCCTCCAACCTAATAGCAATGGCCTTCAACCAAATAGCAACGGCCTCCAACCTAATAGCAATGGCCTCCAACCTAATAGCAACGGCCTCCAACCTAATAGCAAAGGCCTCCAACCTAATAGCAACGGCCTCCGACCTAGTAGCAATGGCCTCCAACCTAATAGCGATGGCCTCCGACCTAATAGCGATGGCCTTCAACCTAATAGCAATGGCCTCCAACCTAATAGCAATGGCCTCCGACCTAATAGCGATGGCCTCCAACCTAATAGCGATGGCCTCCAACCTAATAGCAATGGCCTCCAACCTAATAGCGATGGCCTCGGCCTCCGACCTAATAGCGATGGCCTCCAACCTAATAGCAATGGCCTCCGACCTAATAGCGATGGCCTCCGACCTAATAGCGATGGCCTCCATCCTAGCAGCGATGGCCTCCAACCTACTAGCGATGGCACCTCCATCCTAATAGCAACGGCCTCCAACCTAATAGCGATCGCCTCCATCCTAGCAGCGATGGCCTCCAACCTACTAGCGATGGCACCTCCATCCTAGCAGCGATGGCCTCCAACCTACTAGCGATGGCACCTCCATCCTAATAGCAACGGCCTCCAACCTAATAGCGATGGCCTCCAACCTAATAGCGATGGCCTCCATCCTAATAGCGATCGCCTCCATCCTAGCAGCGATGGCCTCCAACCTACTAGCGATGGCACCTCCATTCTAATAGGCCTCCAACCTACTAGCGATGGCACCTCCATCCTAGTAGCAATGGCCTCCAACCTAATCACAAAGGAATGACACTTGAGTTTTGGTTTCCAGGATTCCACATCGCTCTTCGAAAAGACACATGGAGAAGGTTTACGGTACTCCTTGCGGTTGCTGAATCAGTTCTTCATTGGCGTTTGTGAGAACCCCGCTGAGGCCGGCTGTTGTTTTGAATGCTCATGACTCATGATGTTCCAAGAAGACCTGACCTTTTCCTGCTTGAGGCCAAAGTTGCAGACGAGGAGCCCTTGAACCTTCTTTAAACACAGAAAAAGAGAACCTTTGATGTTGTTGTTTTCAACTTTGAACCCTTTTCTGGCTTTAACTGCAACATCTCAGAACCTTCGATTCTCAGAACTTCGATTTTTGCAACATCCGTGACAATCCCAGGAGCATCCTTCGCCAGAATTCTTGCAGACTTTGAGGCCAAGCTAAACGCATTGGTGGAAGCAAAATCACTTGCAAAGCAAGACTCACTGGCCAGGTCTATCACTGGCGCGCTTCACACCTTTGATGAGGTCCCAGCATTACTTGAGAGGTCACAAGCAGTGCCGTTTGAGTGGGTGAGATCAAACTTGTCCAAACATGTTGGAAAGAAGTTTTGAATGATTCTCCAACATCTCCAACAAATATGTTTTTATTTGAACACTATTATTTTGAAATTGACGAGGCAAAGGCTACTGGAGAAGCGCAGGGCATACTGAGATAGATAAGCCTAGGAAAACAAGAGCATCAAAGTCGGCAAAGCAGATACTGACAGGCTTGGAACTTTGAACAGATGTGCACAAAACCATTAAAACCATTGTATTTCAATTGCGAGGGCCGACTTATATTCTTGGAGATTCTTGGATAGTCGCATGTTCGACCTTGAAATTGCTTTGCATCAGCTCGGCCTCGACCAAAAGTGCGATGGTGTGGGAGTTTTGCTGGTAGATCTCGTTCTTGTGTAGCACATTATATAAACTTTCACATAACGACGTTCCATCGACGATGATTTTCGATCCAAACACTTCAGATTGGCATGAATCCGCATCGTTGGCTCAGTGGAGGGGACAGGTCAGGCAGATTTCTCCAAGTCCTCCTCCCAGCTCCTCCTCCAAGTCTCACCGAGAGCGTCGAAGAACATTTTTTGGAGCTACTAGTAGTAAGAATGCTCCTAGTAGCGATGCCAGGAGCCCCTAGTAGCGTCCTTGCTCCTAGCAGTAAGGCCAGGAGCCCCCAGTAGCTTCTTGTTACTAGTAGTAAGAATGCTCCTAGTAGTGATGCCAGGAGCCCCTAGTAGCGTCCTTGCTCCTAGTAAGGCCAGGAGCCCCCCCGTAGGGTCTTGTTACTAGTAGTAAGAATGCTCCTAGTAGCGATGCCAGGAGCCCCGTAAGAATGCTCCTAGTAGCGATGCCAGGAGGAGCTGTAGTAGCTACTAGTAGTAAGTTGTCCTGCACAAAGCGGACACCGTCTCACGGTGATCGTCCGCTGCGAGTGATAGTTACTAGTAGTAAGAATGCTCCTAGTAGCGATGCCAGGCGCCCCTAGTAGCTTCTTGTTACTATAGTAGTAAGAATGCTCCTAGTAGCGATGCCAGGGGCCCCTAGTAGCTTCTTGT